AGCGTCTGCCTTCGGCTCAGGTCATGATCCCAGGGTCCTGGGATCGAGCCCCGCATCGGGCTCCCTGCTCCGCGGGAAGCCTGCTTCTCCCTCTCCTATTCCCCCTGCTTGTATTCCCTCTCTCGCTGTGTCTCTCTCTGTCAAATAAATAAATAAAATCTTTATAAAAAAAAAAAAGAATCAAAACTCAAGAGGGTGAAAAACAAATGTGCATGTAGTTATCATATAGGATCTTGTTTATAAACCAACTCCACTTCTAATAAAGGAAATGAAAGGGCTCATGCCACTTTACCAGAACATGATGCCACTGTCTCAATCTAACCACTTGCTGGCATCCCGGAAAATGCAGTCATGGCTCCAAAACAGAAATCCCAGTTTGGAAAAAAAAATTCATGAAAAAGGTAAATGCTGTTGTTTTAGGCAATAATTTTGTATCACTGGGGTCTTAAAAACAAATGAAAATATGAATAATGAAATCCTATGGCAATATTTGGTTGTAAGATGGTTGTATTGATCCAGACTATGCTTAAAATTGTTTGGTTTCGGGCGCCTGGGTGGCTCAGTTGGTTGAGCGACTGCCTTCGGCTCAGGTCATGATCCTGGAGTCCCGGGATCGAGTCCCACATCGGGCTCCCTGCTCGGCGGGGAGTCTGCTTCTCCCTCTGATCCTCCTCCCTCTCATGCTGTCTCTCATTCTCTCTCTCTCAAATAAATAAATAAAAAATCTTTAAAAAAATTGTTTGGTTTCTCATAAAAATGAAAAGGCAAAATCAAAAATTTTGATGAGAACTTGTGGACTCTCAAGTTGGGGGAAAATATCTCTAAAAGACAGCCTTTTTAAATGGAACTAGGGAAGAAGGCAAGATGACAAATTTTGCCTAGTCCTAAAAAATTGTGGCACCTGACACAGAAACCTCTTTTTTGGGAAGACTAGTATTCGATGTACTAAAAATAGAATAATAAATGGCTCATTTCTACTCCGGAAAGCAGATTTACTACAATGGGATCAAGGGCAAATCTAATAACTTCATGGGTCATAGAGCAATAATCTCTCCTTCCCAATCTTTGAAATGGCAGGGGGAAAAAATGCCCTAGTGGAATTCTCTAGATTAAAAGACTCACCAAATTAGGAAAATTCTCTATAGCCAAACAACACATTTTTAATTAACCAATCCCTAGTCACATATCTGTATTTAAATATAAAGGGAATGTAATTGCGTATGTATTTTCCCCGTAAAAATAAGGTGCCCTAAAAGATTTAGAAAGGTTTGTCTAGTGCTATATTTTTGAAGTTTATTTTATTTTTTATTTTATTTTTATCTTTATTTTAGAGAGAGAGTACATGCATGCGCATGAGTGGGGTTGGGGGACAGAGGGAGAGAGAGAATCTTAAGCAGGCTCCACACCCAGTGGGGAGCCCAATGAGGTGCTCGATCTCATGACCTTGAGATCATGACCTGAGCCAAAATCAAGAGTCCTGCGCTTAACCAAGTGACCCACCCAGGCACCCCAATACTATATTTTAATTTGGCATCTCAATCATTACTGTCACCCGTTTCCTAAGAATTCACAGAAAGCATGTCTTTTAAATATTATCCAACACAAGTATTTATCTATGTATTTACGTACAATTATGCAAGCAAAAGTTTCCTTTTACTGCAGTTCTGACCTATTTTAACAATATTGCCAGTGTACCAAAGGGCTATAATCTGAATCTCCTTTTGATAGATTTATATTTGTAGCTTTAATAATTTCAATAAGTTCTCTAAATAAAAAAAGACATTTTTAAGTCAAATTACAAATCTGCTAAAACACATCAAATTATGAAATGCGTCTAAATAAGGTACAGGTTTTTTTGTTTTTCTTTTCTTTTGTTTCGTTTTTTAGTAGGCTCCATGCCCACTGAGGAGCCCAACACCAGGCTTGAATTCACGACCCTTAGATTGAGACCTGAGCCGAGATCAACAGTCAGACACTTAACAGACTGAGCCACCAAGGTGCCCCTAAATAAGGTACAGTTTTGAATTTAGATAGTAGCTTTAAAGTAAAATCAATAATTTATTAAATATTATAACAAATATTTTTAATTAACATATATAAATTTCAGTTAATGTTAAATGCTATTTGATCTCAGAATTTTTGAGCAGGAAGAGACCATGGAGATCACCAAATTTGATGACTTCATTTTTAGGTGCAAACACTAATGCTTGATCTTTTGAAGGCAGACAGCCCAGACTAGAACCAGTCTCCCAACTTGTCAGGCAAATATTTCTTTTCTTTAACCATGCAGATATTTACTATAAACATCACATAACATTATCCTGTGTCCCTTAGTGTGGAAGTACTATTCAGAGGTAACATCACTCATTGGCCTAAGGAAGAAGCTACAATTATCTAGGACCGGAAAATCCTATCCCACCTCCACTGCTGATTGGATGACATCAAGCAAGCCATTTAATTGCACAGCAGCCTTCCTCTTCCTAATTATAAAAATAAGGGCTCCAGTAATTTAGACTTCCCTGCTTAAATTGGTTGTTGCAATAAGTAGTAATAAAAATAACTCTAAAGCATACAGCATATCTAAGTGCAAACGAAATACTTAATAGCGAAAACTCATCTTCACTATATTTAAACCAAGGAGTAATAACCACTTTTAGTCGTAATTAGGAGGGGGATATATTAGCTGTTGTGTGTCCTTATAACATCTGAACAAGCTAATGCAAGGGTATATCTAACAAGTTCAGTAGCTCCTAGTTTTTCGTAATCTCTATGTTGACCTAAGCCAGATAGTAATTATTAGTTGAGAATAAACGAGAAATCTTTGACTTCTGAAATGCACCACTTTCCTAACAGAGAGAAGTGTTAACGAACTACCTATATGTTGCTAACAGAATCAGAAAGTTTTACTATAGAATCATCCTGTAACTGATATATGCAGAGTATAAACCCTACCAAATACTATTCCCTAACAGTAAAATATCCTTTCCTGGGTAACACGTAAAATCATCCAGCCTGAGCTGACCTTTAAAAGACAAACAAAAACTTATCAACCAGATTCTCTTGGATAAAAAATAGATCTTGCAACTGGGAGGGATAGAAAGAATGAATAAGTAGGCTTTGAAAAGCATTGTATAACACAAATTTTTGTAGAAGAAAATGTATCTACTTTGCATAGAGAATAATTGGAAAGAAAATACCCAAAGATACTAATATGTGTCATTTCTAGGGGATGGAATTTTAAAACATTTTTTTTCTTTTCTCCTTCATGTTCTGTTTTAGAACATGAATTAATTTTGTTGTATTTTTTTAAGAGGTTACTTTTAATGGAAAAAAAAAAGTGCTGGAGTCTCTTGTGTGGAGGCAGTCAGGGACTATCATGCCCACTTCAAGAATGACACAGGAAGGCTTGCAATGTGAAGTGGTGGTCTTGCTAGAAAACTGGTGGGATCCGCGGTCCTCGTGTCCTGATAGTGGTTTTGGGTAATGAGAGCCAGCACACACGGAGAAAGTCTGGGGAGGCCACTTTGCTGTGAGCTTCCCACACCCAGGAAGGACTGAAGGGCAGAGTTGGGAATGGTTTCTCGCCATCCTCAGCTCTTACCTGGCATGCATCCTTTAGCCACGATTTCCATTTTCTGGATGGTAGGTCTCCGTCTTAGATTTAAACAAGCATTGCTTTCGGTGTTTAATTACAATTTAATGGAAATACTACTCGCATTCAAATTAGCTTTTAGTTTTCGCATCACGAGTGTGCATGCAAGTTATTGTGTCATTATAATCTCATGTTATAATGGCTTCATAATGCAAGTCCCTACAGGGTTGAATTAGTAGTTTCCTATGGTAATCGCCCATCACTATAATATCATAATCACATAAGCACAGTCCCCACATGCTTCCACTGCAATCATTTTGACATTGTAAGAGCATTTTAATAGTATTAGCATAGATTCTCCAGAGAAATCATCTCATTGTCACTGCATTACCATGTAAGATTAATTGTGGTATGAAAGCCTAAAAAAAAAAAATAAGATGATGCTCAGCAATAAAGCATTTCACTTTTCCAAAGGTCACTGAATTTTGCACTAAGGTTTGTGACACAACCCTTCATTGAAGAGACGCCCTTCCACACCACGGACATTTTTTTGTTGTTGTTTTGGTCTGTTTTGCTTCTTGTTTGTTTGCTTAGGACTCAAACTAACAGTCATCAGTTAGTTTGTGCTAGAGAAAGAAACAGCCGTAGTCCCTGTCCTCAAGGAGTTCACAATTTAATCAGGTTTGCAACAAGTTATATACAGCATATAGGTCAGTGCAGTTAATACCGTTGGGATTAGCAAAATACTTGGAAGTAACTGGCATGAAGCAGATGTGAGAGCAAACCACACAAGGTGTTCCTGCAACTGTGCGGCAGAAATGGAGCGCACGTTATCAGGGTTCACAAGAGTCTGGCAGGCGTCTTCGTCTTCACTGAGCCTGCGCAGGAGGGCCACCTTAGGCACCAGTCGTGGACACGGACGCAGCCCCAGCCCCAGCCCCAGCCCCAGCCCCAGCCCACGGAGCAAGCAGAAAGCACGGGTGACGGACAGGAAGCGCCTGGTCGGCACGCATGTCTCCCGCTTTGAGGGGGAGAGTGGAAGCCCGACCTTGTTGTTTATGGCTCAGAGAGTAAGCACAGACCATCTACCGAAGCATCAGATCGAGGGCCAGCAAAAGGAAACGCCTGCTCAGAAAAGCACCACCCAGCCCCTAATACTCTCCCTGGGTTGAAGTCACCGTGTAAAACGACTCCGTTGTGTCGTCACGGACAAATGGCACACGCTGCAGAGACGGACAGGGTATTGTGTTCCTGTGAGCGGCCTCTAATCCTCTGGTCCTGTCTGGGGACAGCACGGGAGAAGTGCAAACGGAGGATCCTAGCTCTCAAGGAATCCTCTGCTCAGCGTCTAAAGCGAGAGGAACGTCCCAGCCCGCATTCAGCACCCTGCCGGGCCCATGGCACGCACCTGCTGAGCGCTCGGGACGGACGGCTGAGGAAATTCACACGACTGGAAGGAGCGCGCAGGCTTCCGAGCTGCCGTGGGTCTGATGGGCGCTACGTCCGCCCCGATAGCACTAACAGCGGAGGAATTCACACCTGGCAATGTCTCTTGTATTTTTCAAGACTTGCTTGCCTTCTGGTTCCGGTAGATCCTGAGCATTCTGAGGAGTAATGGTTGCTCATTGCCCTTTTCTTAAATCGTGTGGGCCTGGGAGAGCTCAGAACTACTCAGCGGCTCCGTTTCCGAAAAGAAGTAATACTGTTTTTTTTTAATTGCAACACAATGAGGGTAAAGGTTGCTCTCTAAGTGCTCAAAACGACTTTTACCAACAAGCTCTGGAGCAATATAAACTTATTACATAAACAAAATTAGCTGTCCTTCCTTTAGAAGTTATTTTTAACTTCTTAGGTAAAGTCTATGGCACCTGCTACCCTATTCTTCCTTGAGTTCTTGTTCAGGCATCCTATGTAATTAAGCTCTTCTGACTCATTCTTCACAGTGACATCTGCCATTATGAAGTGATATCAAAATTTACTTTTATTGCCTTTGATTACCAGTGTTTATTATTATTTGCTTTGTCATTAGACATAAAGAGGAAAAGTCAAGAATCAAGGATGGGATGTTTAAATCCAAATGTCCTCCCCCTAAGAAGAAAAATTTTATTTATTTTGCAAAATATATCTTGAGACTGCTTAGAAAAATGTCCTTGTTTTCCTCTCTCATTCAAATGTATTAAAGGCAACAGAAAACAGTCCTGATAATGTTCAATAGGGCAGAGTTGGGAATGGTTTAACCCATTTCTGTGTGGCAGAAATGAAGCGCACGTTATCAGGGTTATCAGATTAATAGGGTTAATCTTTTATTTGATACAAACAATAGTCAGTAGCTATTTAATATCTGGAGTGCCACCAAACATTAATGCTGAACTGCTATATTTCAAAAATGGAAGAATGCACACAGATGGGACAACAGAATGCTCTTATGAACACGTCACTATTTCCCTGATAGGGCGAAATGCTACAACTTCACCAATAGCATAAAGGTTTCAAAAAGTTGATATGACCAAAGTGGGTCTTTAGGCCAACTTAGCACGTGAGCCTCAGTTTTCTCCCAGTAAAACAAAGGAGTTAAACAAGGTGATCGCCAAAGTTCTTTCCAGATACAAATTCCATGATTCTAGGCAAGAAGGCAGTAAATGACCTCTAACCGACCTTTGCAGTGGCTCCCCATGAGTACAACTTGTTTAGACATTAGATAAATGGGGATATTAAGGTAGGAGAAAATCAGGCAGAACGTTTCTATACAAGAAACGAGAAACCTATTGATACTGTTCTAATTCTTTTTCTGAACCATTCTCGAACAAACTATATGACAGTATTTACTTTATTATAAACTTCAGATTATTACTAACAGATGAATGAAATAAAAATACCTCATAACCCATATTATGACTTTCTTTATTATTGCTCTCTATACTGCTTATGACTAAAATAGAGGCTAGTATACAATAATCCCGGCTCTATTAGCCCTCAAATAAATGATGCTGAGTGTCTAAGCAAATGAAAACTCCCAGCTATTTCCCAAAGAACAGCTAAAATGATCCATTATGTGCATATATGTATATATATATTTATACACATACATATCCAGTGTTCACTGTCTAATTATCAGCGTGCAAGTACAGAGACTATTCTGAAAATTGTTTTGTGCCAACTTTACAGCCAAGAATCATTTTATGTCTTAGTGGACAGTGAGGTAAGTAAAAAAAAAGTCAGTCATATGCTTGTTTTTTTGTCAGTGTTTTGAGAAGGTGTGATATATATCCCACTGGTGATTCAGACCAATTTTAGGTGATATATGGGCATTTAAGATGTCTTAAACACATATTTGTTTATTTTAATGTGTTTTAGAATAAAAGTAATAAATGTTGCAAGCCTCTGATTTTATGGATATTATTGTTTAGGATGAAGCTGAAGTAAAAAAGTGGGTTAGTTTAAAGAAAAACATTAAGTAATTAGAAAAGGTAGTACCTGGGCATAACAAACATGCTTTATTTTATTTTTTTAAAGATTTTATTTATTTACTTGAGAGAGAGAGAGAGAGCACAAGTGGTGTGGAGGGGCAGTGGGAGAGGAAGAAGCAGACTCCCCACTGAGCAGGAAACCCAAAGAGGGGCTCGATCCCAGGACCGACTGAGCCACCCAGGCGCCCTGGAAACATGCTTTAAAAATGATAGGAGAATGAATCAAATTTGACCAATTTGATAAATATTAATGAGTGATGAATTCTTTCATTCTGATAAATATTATGCTGAATTTGTGAAAATTAAAAGGCATTTAACATCTCTACAATATCTTGTAACACATTTATTTTCTCTGGTCTATGAAAGAGCTAACTCCTGTTCTGGGGGTAACATTCTCCTAACTCATCAGAAATATAATCATGACTTCTAATTAGGCAGAGAAAGCTGTCATCCAATTTTAACTCTCAGACCTTTTTGTTGGTCCTATAATTGTTGACATCATTTTAAATGATGTTGATTTAAAGATATGAATATGATGTATGGTGTCAGGGCACCTGGGAGGCTCAGTTGGTTGGGCGTCTGCCTTCGGCTCAGGTCATGATCCCAGGGTTCTGGGATCGAGCCCCACATCGGGCTCCCTGCTCAGCGGGGAGTCTGCTTCTCCCTCTCCCTCTGCCACACTCCCTCTCAATTAAATAAATAAAATCTTTAAAAAAATATGATAATATGGTGTCAAGAATATAGATGGAGACATTATGGTCAGACACGGTACAGCTACTGAGGAAGTTCTCCAACTTTAATAGAATAAAACTCTGAAGTTGACTACATCATTCTTTGTATAGAAAAACGACATATAGATAAAGAAACTTTCCTTTCTGCTAATGCTATAAAAATCATTACATTATATAAGAATAATTAATGAAAACTTATTTTACCAAGATATTCCTAACACAAAGATAAAAGTAAATAAGTGAAAACAGGTTCACAAAAAACTACATCATCCCTACATAATGCATTGTGCAAATTCCATATAAAAAAACCTTTTACAACTCTGATTTAGTCTACCAAAAAGCAAAGGAATTTAGAAATTAATCCTTTTGACGTCACCGTAGCAAGAATAAGTAGTAGCAAAGGTCCAGGAAGTGTCCCTAATGCTGGAAACTGTATATGTTCTTTTATACATTTTAAATCTAACAATTAAATGAAATTCAATAGACAACAAATAAACTATATAGAATCTTCACAAAGATCATTTTAAACCTGGATCTCTTAGCTTGAAATATTTTGGTCTTTCTACTGAAATACACTGATAAACAAAAAGTGAAAAAAGAATGCGTGGGAGGAATGAATTATGTCAAAAAGGGAAAACTGGGCAGTGCAGGTTACAGGAAACTCCGCCCCCCCCACCCCCCGGAACACCCACCAGATCAAATATGGCTGTAAGGTCAAAGGCTCAGTAATGTCAGTGCTAAAAACAGCAGATTCTTTACTTCTTATACCCTAAGCTGCTCCAAAGTATTTATACAGGACAAAGAGGAACACCTTGAAGATGCACCTCTCTGAATGAGAACATGGTGGGGGGTGCGGCAAGTTCAAAGAAACCCAGAAGCCAAAGGGAATCAATGTCAGGTCTTTTGACTTATGCAGAAATGTGAGTAAGACTCGAGAGAGAATGGCCCAGGTCAGTCCCTCATCCTACCTGTGGAAGCTTCGGGAACTTGGATGGGCAATGGCAGTGACAGGATGGAGACAGGGCTTTGGAGTAACAGTCCTCGAAGTGAACTCAGCAGAGATGTTTTCTTGCCTAGTGGCAACCTGGAAAGACCCTTCCTGCAGTAGCAGAGGACATTTTTTATAGAAAGTACTAGGCAGAAGGCATTCGCCAGGCATGGTGCATTGGAAGCCAGCACCCTCTTCTTGAATTCGCATGTGAAATGGACTTGTGCAACTGTAAATGGAAAGTGTCTGAAGTTAAAGACTCAACTTGGAGAAGATGCAGCCTGAGCAGCTCTATGACTGGTAGAAAGGCAGACTCATGAAGTGATAGATATGCCATACGCCAGGGAGTGATAAATAAAAACGTGTCAAATAATCTAGGTCAAAATTAGCAAAGACTCTCTTGTAGCCTTTCTGGATAAGGGTATCAACAATACTTTTCTATGGAGTGACTGGTAGTAAAAACCACACTCTACTTACACATGTATTGTCTTACATATGCACGCATACCTCATTATTCAAATGTAATTTCTCCCTGAAAACATGATGGGTACCAAATTTTGCATTGCAGGAGGTTATGTATTACATTCATTTTTTTTTTTTTTTAGTTATTTCATTTAAACTTTTTAATGTCGGCATTTTCAAAAGCTTGCATATGTGGAAAGAATAGTATAATGAACCTCTAGGTATCTATCACCCAACTTCAACAATAGATTCCAACAAAAGAAGTTTTTAAGGGGAAAATTAATGTTTCACAGCTCATTCAAAACCACCAACCAGTTATTCCAAATATTACTAATATACTCTTATGACCCATATAACAATCTTCTAAGGATTTCTGGCAATTAATTAACTGCAAAAGACATTTTTTAGAATTAAAAAAAAAACCCACAATTATTCTATTCTGAAGGCACACTGTAAAGCTTTCCAGAAACAACTCTAGGACCCACGGTAGATGTAGACAGGTGATAGTCAAACTGAGGTACTGGATGCTTTCACATTCCCAATATTTTTTCAAATGTAAGAGCTTTACTACCTTCTTATGCTCATCGTCTCTCTTAGACATTTTCAGTTGATGACATGAAGGCAACAAGGCACAACACATTTAACAATGTGAGCACAAGATGTTGCCCTTTAGGGGGGAGATCTGAGCTATAGGACCACAGTGTCCTCTACGTCTTGTTGCCCTTTTTGATGGCACAATATGTGGACTGATATTAGCAAGTTGTTGGTTCAAAGAGGAAATTCTGAGGAAAAATATTGGTGAGTAATAACAAATATTTGGATGGTGGTAGTTCAGATGGCAAGGTATATTTAATTATGTATACTTTATGGTTAACCGCTTAATAAAGTACATAGGATTCATGTAATCATGTTGCTACAATTTTTATCTAATTACTTCACTGTTTTAAGTCACAAGCATAAAGCTCTCCTCCAAGTAATGTTAAGAAGTTCCTAAGCTGAGTAGACCCTCCAAAGACTTGTAGTCATCACTTGGTTGCTCAAATTTTATAATCAATGAAAATAACTCCAAAAATGGTAGTTTCCACAGACCATTATTATTACAGTTCAGTAGTATGGACTGAATTGTGTCCCCTGCACCCTATATGTTGGAGGCTTAACCTCCAGTACCTCAGCATGTAACTGGGTATGGACATAGGGCCTTTAAAGAGGTAATTACATTAACTACTTTATGTAGTTATGAGCAGGGATTAGGAAACATAGACAAAGGGAAGACCGTGGGAGGACACACGGAGGAGCCAGCTACCGGCAAGCCAAGAGAGGCCTCAGAAGAGACGAAATCTACCAACACTTTGATCTTGGTCTTTCAGCTTCCAGAACTGTGAGAAAATAAATATCTGTTGTCTAAGTCACCCAGCTGGTGATATTTTGTTATGGCAACCCTAGCAAACTAATGCCATCAGTAATGGAGGTCGCCTAATCCAAGCTACAGAGGTGGCCTTTAATTACACCTGGGGGGATCTGGGTCTACAGAGTAGAAACTTTGTTGAAAGGACTGGCCAGGCATGTATGATTCAATCTGATGCTTTGTGACAAATTTTGATGACAATCAGGTGTATGAACGCGGAGTTATTTATTTCAGTTATTTGTCAGGGTAAAATATAGGAGGCTTGCTGAAAAGTTAAGCAGATATCACACAAAGATGTTTTAGCAGGTGTATCATGTGAAATACCCCTGAACTGGGGGCTGGGCTTTATATTTCCTCCAAACCTTAGAGAGCAAGACTAATAACATTGAACTTTTCAGATATATAATGAATATAATAGACAAGACATGTAGAAATGTGACATTATAAACATGATAACTTGAGTTTATGAAAATAATTTAAATATTTCAAAAATCAGGGGGCACCTGCGTGGCTCAGTCAGTTAAGCATCTGACTCTTGATTTTGGCTCAGGTCATGATCTCAGGGTCGTGAGTTCAAGTCCCACATCTGGCTCCACACCAGGCGTGGAGCCTGCTTAAGATTCTCTCTCTCTTCGTCTCCCTCTGCCCCTGGCCCAGGCTCTCTCTCTCTCTCAAAAAAAAAAAAAAAATCAAAAATCAGTACATATATAATTTTGAAAATAGTAAGCAATATTAAGAAATCATTGTCACTACACAGTAATACTAAGGGGTTTTTGGTTGCAGTGGACTTGGAATTACACAAAGGAGCATTATATTCACAACAATATTTACCAATATTCTCCTCAGAGTTCTTTTCAAACACTAAATAATTACCCAATTAAGCCACTGAAAGATAAGCTGTTATTACTCTGGATTTAGTGAAAAGGACTAATAATTACTATTTTAACAATTTCTGTGAAGAAAGTCTCAATGTTTACCGAACACAACTGTGAGAACACCCCATCCATTTAGCAAGTAGGGAACAGAAAAAAAACAAAAGGTTGATTAGTTAAGTGAGCTCAGGGAAAGACAGAGTTGATTAAGAACTAAGAACCATGACCGTGAAAACAGAGAACTTAATATGCAAAGCAATGACCAAAATTGGCAGAAGGCTATTTATGAATCCTGCCAATATTCAATGTTGCAGACTGACAATGGAGAATCTGTGGTCATGCCCTCAACAACATAATTCATCACATTAGTGCTTGGGGCAGTCATGTCCAAGCAATTTATCATCATCATATCACTCGTCTGAGTAAGAGAG